AAATTTTCGGCTTGGTAGGGCTCTATAAAGCGAAAAGTTTTTTCATTGGTCATTGTTACTGCCGTTATGTAGACACTATTGCGTGCATATAAAATTTAAATCAGGTGCGTGCATTCACTCTGGGAGCTCGTAGCAAACTGAACGTGCGGCCAACGTGTGGACGCGGCGGCCAATACTCTACCACAACCCTTTGATCTTTTGTAAAAAACCGACACCAGACGGATCTCGCGCCAACTTGTGGGCCATCGTTCCAATACGTACCAACGTAGCTTAAACACCCGCTCTACACGATGGCCATCGTTGTTGGCCAACACATTGGCCAGTGTGTTGGCCAACACATTGGCCAGTGTGTTGGCCAACGTGAAGAGCCGCCGGAAGACGATAGTGCTGTCGAAATGTAAATCCAAGATGGCGGCTGAATTAGGTACCAATTTTTTCATCTTGGGTGTCATTTTCATGGGTTTCGAGGGTGTTGAAGCCGATAGTGCTGTAGAAATGTTAATCCAAGATGGCGGCTGCAATAGATATCAATTTTTTCGTCATGGGTGTCATTCTCATGGTTTTCACTGGTGTTGAAGCCGATAGTGCTGTCGAAATGTAAATCTAAGGTGGCGGCTGCAATGGGTATCAATTTTTTCATCATGGGTGTCATTTTCATGGTTTTCGAGGGTGTTGAAGCCGATAGTGCTGTCGAAATGCAAATCCAAGATGGCGGCTGCAATAGGTATCAATTTTTTCATCATGGGTGTCATTTTCATGGGTTTCGAGGGTATTGAAGCCGATAGTTCTGTCGAAATGTAAATCTAAGGTGGCGGCTGCAATGGGTATCAATTTTTTCATCATGCGTGTCATTTTCATGGTTTTCGAGGGTGTTGAAGCCGATAGTGCTGTCGAAATGTAAATCCAAGGTGGCGGCTGCAATAGGTATAAATTTTTTCAACATGGGTGTCATTTTCATGGTTTTCGAGGGTGTTGAAGCCGATAGTGCTGTCGAAATGTATTTAAACTACTTTAAAAAAATTCCGTATAATCATGCTATACGTAATTTTTTTAATGCGAAGGCATGCTCAATTGGATTTACCAATATTTAAAATTAAGTTCTTTATAAAAGACAGTAGGTCTTTAAGAAATGACCTAATAACAAACGCCCACAATGAATTGTAAGTACTTTTTAGGGATAAAGTAGTAAATTGCATATTCCAATATTATTTTACGTAAGGTATACAATTAAGAGAATAGATTTACAAACACGGTACCAAACGGAAATAGACCTTTTTAAAGGACATTGGGCAAATATTATATAATTAGGTGAAAATAAATTGTACTTTATGATGCACATTGAGCTTTAATGAAATAAAAAAAAATAATTGTAAATTACTTTATTTGAAATATTTGAGATCAAATTTTATGAAATCACAATTGCAAACGGTCTCTTGTAATCTTACTTTAATAATAAATTATTACAATTAAGTAAAAAGAAAATAGCAAAGTTAAGGGTTAACATTAGAAAATGAATTAAGTACATAACTAAATAGTATAATGAATAAAAGTCACGCATTTGACGTTGACAGATCAATCGTATGTGAGATGAACCTCTGAGTCCATTTTCTCGTACGGTATCTGTTAGGACACACTGCTAATAAACGGTCTGCTAAATCCACCCCACCCATATTAGAACTAAATTGCCTTACACATCTTGGTCCCTTTACGGTTACGTATTTTTTTTTGCTTCTTACACCAACGCTGACATAAACCCTCTTCTTTGGCTTTAACGGAAGACATCAGTACAACGGGCTTGTTTATTTATTTATTTATTTATTATATATCCACTTATTACAGGATTGCCCTAATACGATAGATAAGTCATACTTTAGTTATGTTACATATAATAAGTTTATAAACTAAAACATAGAAATAACAATTCGTTCAGCCACCGCATTGAGAGTACGTAGCGCGCGCTATTAACCCCGATTAGGTTGGTTCTCGCGTGCGGCAATTCCAGCATTCTCACTCGTCGCCGCCGTTCGGTACTTCGATCTGGCACGCACAATTTCATCTCCTCCAGGATAGCTGGGTTGTTAACTAGAGATGTTACGGAGGTTCGATTGCGATGCTGAAAGTTCGGAACTTCCGATTGATTTTGCACCTTCGATTCCAATTTCGGTTCCGTTAAATTTTAATCGGAAGTTATATATCGGAGGTTAAAGCACAGTGGTGGCGGCTACCACTGTCTTGTATATACTTATCGCCCCGGGAACCTCCCTCCCCCTGTGCCTTCTGTCGATTACTGTTTAACTTGATGTTTTGTTTCGTATTTGGCAATTGACATGTGCTTTCACGCTTCAGTTGTATCTATCAAAGTTTTTCATTAGTTTTAGTAGTGTCTTACTTGACGTGTAATAAATTTATTTGAATTTTACAATGAAGCCAAAATCAAGTGTCATTTGGAATTATTTCAATGAAGTTTCTGAGAATACGGCAAAGTTAATTATGTGAGAAGAGATATTCACGAAAGGGAGGTACGATTACTTCGTTAAAAAGTCATTTAAAGTCTGTCCATGCCACTGAATACGAAGAATTCAAAAAATTTGAAACTGAAAAGAAAAATACAGTGCAATAGACCTGCCCTTACCACATCTCTTCTGCCTCCACCTCCGATTCCGGTTCCGATTTTGGTTCAGGTTGCGACAAACAAAATTTAAAAACTCCGCTTCTGAATTCGGTTCCGATATAACCACTTCCGTAACATCATTATTGTTAACTACACTTAAATAAGTATTTGCCCAGCGATACTTTCCTTCTTACTTCCAGTTTACTGTACCCTACCAAACCGAGAACAAACAGAGTAGGATACAGTAACGGATAACCCGGAGTGTATCCAAGTATAATTGAGATATAAAAATTTAGCAAACTTGTTTTGAACACTTTCCAATATTGACTTATATTTATTTGTCTTCATTTGGAACATGCTGAAATTCATTCGGTCAGTCGTCGATCAAGCATTCCGTTTTCTTCACACTGTTTGTTTCGACGGCTATCTCTCTCTTTCTGCTCCGTGTTCGACTCTCGAAGTGGGCGGTTTTTTTATAAGTAAGCTCTATTACTATACTCATAGATATGGAATATGCATGTCAATATATGTAGCCAGATTTTTGAACAGTAGAGTGATATGGCACCATTTTGAATAAGACAATAAAACTTTTAAGCAACGTGTAATGAATGTAAAGATGTATTAAGTTATAAGTCGTCGTTTTTAACGGGAGAGTAAATTAATTAGATTTTTGTGTTTGATTAATAAACATCGTTTCATAAATTCGTACCTGTTTTATTGAGCTAAAACATGCCTTATAATTATCGCTTACCTAAAATTTACAAATACTTACATAATCGAATTAATAACTTAAGTATAATAACGCATAGGCGTCAATTTTACGCTTGGCATAATGGGCATTGAGCGATACGCGCGCTTTATACCTTGCTTATTTGTACTCTAAGTTCTGAATACTCTTTATCTATTGTTCTAAGGGGTCCCTTAATTTAATTAAATTATTATATACTCTTTGGCGGGGTTTATAACTTTGACATAAAGTACAATTTATTTTCACAGATTTATAGTCATGAGCGTTTTTGAATTTGAACGCAATCCGATATTTATCCGATTTCAGATTTTAAAATCGATTTCAAAATCCGTTTTTAAATATCCGATTTCAGAATCGCCAATTCGTTTACGTATTTAGATTTCGTTTTATAAGTTAACGAAACGACAAACGCAAATGTATACAGAAACAGATTAGCTCGATTATCCTTCATGCTTTAATCTAGGCTTAGGACTAGCAGAAAAGTTTTGTATGAAATTAAAACCTTTCCGGCGCATTTAAAAATCGGCATATTTACAATGATTTCTTAATATATTTTTTTTTATAATTTTTTATTTTAGAATCTATTTGGATCAAGGTTTGCGTTTAAAAACGCAATTTGCTCCAATTTTGAAGACTTTAGACGACACCTCTTGTCATTTATAATAAGTCCCATCTTGGAAAAAAGTCGTTCGCACGGAACGGAAGTCGCAACAATATTACATTTTGTGCGATATATTTCCGACAAGTGCGGATAAATTATTTTATGGTCTCGCCACCACTGCGAGGGGCTATTCCAATTACCGTCACTATTTTTTCTTGCTAGCATCTCGTCATCAATATACATTTGTAATTCACGAATTGCTCTTGCTTCTGCGCTTCCTTGTGGCTTATTTTTTTAACAAGTCGTCAAATTTGTCCCAGGCACTGAGATTTTGGCGGGGCTTTTCCTGAACTTCATCAGTGATTGCTTCAGAATTTGTATTTTTATTTATAATTTTTATAAGGCCTATTATTAAACCATGGACATATCTTTTTAATTCGGTGGCCGCACTTTCGTTCTTAAAACATACAAGTTTAAATCGTGGGTCCAACAATGTACACACTCCGAAGGTCTTGCTGTGTTCTATTGCCTGAAATCTATCTCTCAATCCGTGTTTTAAACTCCGTATTACGTCAATCACAACTGGATTAAAAGATGCGAAATATTCTTCTTTATTGAGAAAATCTTCACAAATATCCTTCAAGCAGTTGGTCATGACTATGACCATACTTCCTGTGAGGTACTGATCTCCACTTACTGAAGAAGTGACTTCTTCAAATGGCTGGAGTACTTTGCATACGTCTTCCATTATGTCCCAATCCTCTGAACGTATAATGGGCCATTCTCTTTCTATAAGAGCCATGCAGTGTTTAACGGCTTCCTTTAATAATGTGAAACGGCGAAACATAAAAATTGTAGAGTTCCACCTTGTAGGTACTTGTTGGATTAACCGTTTTGGTTCTCCACAATTAATCATATTTTTTAATTGGTATCTAAGAAGCATATCCGTTGCATTTGTACTGCGTTTAAAATGTGCCACTATTTTTTTTACATTTTCAATTAATTCTTCTAATGGTCTCAGAGCCCCCGACACGATTAAATTAAGGGAATGAGCATAGCAGCCATAATGCTTCCACCCTAGCTGTCTCTATTGCTTTGACAATATTTCGAGCATTGTCTAAAATAGCGAAATTGACTTTGTGTGTTAAATTCCATTCGTCCGTTACTCTCTTTAATTTCTTTGCTAAATTGGCACTCGTGTGAGTTTCGTTAAGACCTTTACATTCTAAAAGTATTTGTTGTGGTTCAAAGTTTTTGTCTATGTAATGCACTGTTACGCCAATATAGCTTTCAGTCTGGGACGATGTCCAACAATCAGTCGTCAAACAAACACTGCTAGCGTCTAGAGAAACTCTGGTCTTTACTTCATTTAAAGTGGTCTGGTACAATGCCGGGATCATAGCCGAAGATATATTTTTCCTACTAGGCAACGTGTATCCCGGGATATTTTTCACAAATTTTTTAAACCCTTTGTCTTCAACAATTCGGAAAGGTTGAAAGTCTGCTATAAATAATTCTAACAAATCACGATCAACTCGTTTACTTTCTTCTGGGGACATTTTTTTAATAATATAATTTTGCATAGTTCTTTGCCGTTTTCGATTGAGAATCTGCTCTGGAATCTGGGAAGCTGTCTCTTTGTCAGCGACCGCGGCAGCTTGAATTGAGCCACCCGTATCTCTAGATGTACTCGCCAAACACTCGATAGTCCCAATTTGCTGTTTATTTCCTAAATCGGTACTCACCTTTTGCGCCAAATAAATTGAAGCGTGAGATCGTTTTAAATGAGCTCCTAGGTTACCCGATGTAGATTTATAAGATATATTTTGATTGCAATATTTACACACTGCAACTCCAGAAACATTTTCTTTTTTGTCAAAATGAGTCCATATCTCACTTGGTTTTCGCAACATTTTGAAAATCAAACCAGTTCTCGTCTAATCAATTAAAAGTCTAAATAAAAAACTTAATAGTTAAAATAAAAAATATTTAAATATTATATAAACTTACTCACTTATATAAATACACTTACACAATTCACTTAGTTAACTAATTTTTATTTTCTTTACACTAAACACTAAACTCTAAACTAATAATTAAAAATTATAAATTCTACTAAAATAATTTACTGATACGACTGACCGCCACGCATGGACTTTGCACCAAGGACAAATCTGCATCTAAACGAAAACAACATGAAAACAAAAAAATATTTCTAGTAAAGAAACACAACCAAAAACAAAAATAAATCATCACACAATGTTGCAAATATAGTCTTTAACAACTGTGTAACTAGAACGATATTGATCGCATATTTCAAAGATTCTAGTAAGCAAAGCCCAACACGGAACCAAAATTCATTTACGCATAATATCGCAAAGCAAATATAGACTTTAAGTACTAATAACAGTAAGGATAATATTGATCTCATATTTCAATGTGCAATAGATTTCATTAACGGACAAACCAAAATCCAAATCTCAAAATTCGCGCCATCCTTTTCATTCCGCTATGTCATGTTTGGTTAGAACGAGAGAAACTGAGAAAACGGATTTCTACGCATCAGTTTGCGTTTGGATTTGGATATTGTCGATTTTGGATTTTGATTTCATTGTCGATTTGGATTCGTTTGGTGGTACAGATAGTTAGCTTAATTAGGTCGATTTTTGAAATCGGATTTTACAGTTTGGGAAATCGATACGAATGGATTTGTGTTTGAAATCGGATTTTAGATTCGTTTTGATATATCTGACGCATGCCTACAGACTTATACAATTATACATTTCAAATTGTGTTGTGAGATGTCTGCGTAGACGAATCAAATGTACTGCATGCATTGAATGTTTGTTTTCAAATGAAAAGCATAAATACCATAAACTAGTTAGTAGTTAGCGCACTTGATGGAGGCGGATTGATTTATGCTTCAAGGGATGTATATTCTAAATGTAAGACTTCGGAGACAGTAATCAGAAAGTTTCTTAGACAAAATTTTATAATAACTAGGCCAACTTACACAAACATTTTATCCTTTATAGTAAAACAATTTATTGGTCATAAAAATACTTATTTTAAAGTTGTAACTAAACACGTAAGATACGCGGGAAATTTAAAATTTGGAATGGTTTAAACTTATTGTTAATTACAAAGGACAGTAGTACAGTTTGTCTGGGCTTTTGTACTGTCATTTTTAATGTACTTTGGGCGCTACGAAGTTAATAACATTGTATTTAGGCTCGCCTGATCCTTAAGTTAGGTCACTGACTGTTGCCCAAGTACGAAATAGAAAAAAAACTATAAATCCCAAGTAGGCGAAGCCCGTACCAAACGGGAAGCTCCCAAGACGAGAAGAACTCAAGACAAAAAGTGGTAAAATTAAAAATTTCGTATAACCGACATCAATATAAATAAAATGAGAGCATTATCAATGTAGTCGAAGTCTATTAAATACACATTGTTAGGGATAACTCAAAAACTACTGGTCAAACCTTGATAAAATTTATATGGGACCACATGAGAAGCACCAGTTTTCAAATATAAAAAGAATCATCAAAATCGGTTCACCTAGAAAAAAGTTCTGAGGTAACACACATTAAAAAGGAACATACAGTCGAATTGAAACCTCCTCCTTGTGTTATAGAACAAAAATCAAGTGTACAATGACTAGTATTGTGCGGAACCTGGACGAAGAATTTTCACTTGATAGTACTCTTAACAATAGGAGTCTACATGATGGTGAGGATTGTGAATAACGATAATTTAAAATTAAAAATTTTGTACAACCGACTTCAATATAAATTAATAGAATAATTCAAAAACTATTATTTAGACCTTGATCAAATTATATGAGACCACATGTGAAGCACCAGCTTTCAAATAAAAAAAGAATAATCGAAATCGGTTCACCCAGTAAAAAGCTATGAGTTAACACATAAAAAATTATAGATGAATTGAGTACAGTCTCCTTTTTGAAGTCGGTAGAAAAGAAATATGTCATAATTGGTATGGGCAATTGTGAATACGCAGTACTTCAGAGGCAAAGCACTCGCTGTAAATTTCACAATACGTGAGCAGCCCAGATTCGATCCCTGCCGACACCAATGTAATTATTAAACAAAATAAAAACAGAAAAGCGGTAAAGGGAAACTTGCATATCTGATAAAAAAAATATTTCGAAGACACAAAGTTCACTAATACGCAGTGGAACAGAGCGGCGATTAATTTCTTGCCTAAAAACCTCTCCCAGAAATGAGACGAGGCCAGTGAACAGCTGTAGGATGTACATAGATTGTAACTTTAATTGTGAAATTATCACTGTCGCTCGAAATTATGTTATTTAAGTAAACAAATGCCTGTTTATCGTGAATTTAGTTATTGTAATTTCATTTAATATTACTGCATCAACATGATCTTGTAATAATATTTTAAATTTATTCATTCAAGTTCCATTATATACTTGATCATTTTCATAAGTCTACATATGCTTCATATTTAACTAATTTTCTACAACAGTTCTGCAATCTTGTGTCCAATTTACAAGTCTAATTTGTATACATAACAATAAAGCATTTAATTTAAATTCATAAAGGCAAAGCACAGAATACATCTCTTTGAAACTGTTCTAATAGGACTTTCAATCTTTCATTTTTAAAGCCTTCAGTAATGCTCTGTTTTACTGCTTTCTGGAAATTCTGTAACAAAATTAAAATACACATTATAAATTTATCTATTTTGACGACTACATAATTCCAATAATGATTTCTTATATTTATAGAAATACCACATCAAATTAAATGAATTTCATGGATTTTATAGTGTTTAATTTTAACATTTTTATTTCCCAATGTTTCGGGTGCTTTACATGCATGCTATGGGAAGTCTGCAGTCTGTAAACATGTTTAAGATCATCACCACCAATACATCAGATTTGATAGACCACAAATCGCAAAACCAAAGATGGTTTGCGAGACTACTGATATCAAAAAACATCCTAATTTCAATAGAACAGATGGAAGGGTGTTATCATGTGCTTGGGATCCTATAATTAATAAAATTAAATCCAAACTCAATCATACAACTGCAAGATTTAAGATACTGTAAGCTTCTTCTGCTTAGATCAGACTAAAAATTAATATTCAAAAACGGAAGGTAACTGTGCTAACTATGACATACATGTCAAACACCTCACACACCCGTGACCATGGGTGTTGTTATCATTACACCCTATTAAAGTCCATTGCTGATAGGCATAGGCATAAAAAGTTAAAATTATACTCAATAAAATCTGTAAAATCAGTTTTATTTAACACATAATTCATAACACAGAATGATGATGATATATTTTGATACATTTAGATGTTTTATTATTTGTAATTTCAATATCTGTATTTTATTATCATATGTAACATATATATTATAGCTATGTATGATACATATTTTGTTCATATATTTACACTCAATATATGTTAAGTTTTTGTATATTATATGTATATCTTAGTATATATATACGTAGTAAGGTCAGTTGGGGCAAGTGCGACGAACATCAATATCTCATAAACCAATACAGTATTTGAAAAACGCGCTATAACCTGTATTTCTACAACAAATTTTAGTTCCGAAGTAAAATTTAAGATGTTGTGACTGGGCCTAGTACGATGTGAGTCGTTATTTTGTTTTGAACCTTTTTTTCCCGTGGAGTCCACGTTGACAAGTGCTGTGCATATCAGTACGAATCTCGAGAAAAAATTACTACCGAGTCATTTGAACCAGGTCATTGCATTCTCTAAACATTATTCTTCATAAACCTGTATATATTTTGTTTCTATCTCACAGGTAATTAACTTTAGCGATGCTTTTATTTTTATAACCTAAAACAAACGAAATGAGGCAAGCGCGCCTACTATTAATGGGTAAGTGTGCCACTATGACGCACTTACCCCGAACCAGAAGTTGAAAACATTTTAAGAAAGTAAGTGGTATTACTACTTATTTCTTTATTTATTAAACTTTATGCAATTTAAGTTATTACGTAGGCGGACTTAATGCCTTCGGCATTTTCTACCAGCCATCTATACATCTTCTAAATATAAAAAAGCGAAATACTGACTGACTAATCACGAAATCTCAGGAACTATAAAGGCTACGAACTTTAGTTTGGAAATTACAATATACAGTAAAAAATGGTACGATAATATGATTAATGGAATATGTTCTACCCACAAAGGAATGCCATTATTTAAGATAGACTTATTTTTACAGTTTTTGTTTTCTTGTCGTTAAATATTTTCTAGTTAGACAAGTAAAAATAAAAGTTCCTAATTTTCAAACACATTCTTACATTTCAAAGAGAGAAAGTTATTAAGTAGAATAAGAAAATAATAGATTTACTAAAATACTATTTTTAATAAAGGATTTATTTGATAAATGTTAATGTTTAAAAGATAAAAATGATAAGCTTTTTGAGACTGATTCAATTTGCTTTACTTACGACTGAGATTTTGTAAACTTTATATAAGCAATAGGTGCACTAGCCACTTTAAATAAAACATTAGTCCCTTAAAACGTGCTTTTATTATTTTGTACAAAGTTTGTCTTGTTAAAATCATAAATATTACAATTTAATTGAATACAATTTTCCGTTATAAAAATGTTCAGTACCCCTGAAAACAAACTTATGGCGCACTTACCCCAAAGTTTGCTTTTGAGCGATAATAGTTATTTTTGGCGTATCAAATATCTCATTGCATAAATTATTTACTGCTCATATGCTTTCGTTCGAAAAATAGACCCTATTCTAATAATAACAAAATAAAAACGAATTGTAAAGCCTAGCCTAGCCGCACTTACCCGCGTTCCAAGGGGAAGTGCATCTAAGCGAACAGTTTTATTCAAACACGTAAAATCTTAACAAAACATAGTTTATATTGCTCAACGAAATGATAATTTAGAACTAAAGAAACAAAGCTATCCAGTAGTACCTAATGAACTTTTATATGTTTAAAAAAAATTAAAATAATTACAACAAAAAGTAATGTTTAAAAAACTATACCGCACTTGCCCCAACTGACCTTATGTATTTGCACCTGCCACAAAATCACATCACACCACGGGTTTACTGGCAGAGAATGCCGTTAGGAAATAATTCCACTCTTTGTTACCCCAGTTATTAAGAGGTTAACAATCAAGATTAAATAAATGAATAAATAATTCAGGCTAAGACTAAACCAGGTGATCAGCCAGATCATATGTACTCAGCTCAGTCTATTCTGATACAACCAAAATGTACATACCATTTTTTAACATTGTTGCAGATATGGAATGTAAAATGTGTAAAATAAAATTAACCTTTAAAAGTTCAATGCCATAGGCATTCGTCACTTCATCAGATACTACTATACTAGTCACTGCAAAAAGTAGCCTGCACACCTTGCATCTTATTTTTCTACCAACTTCAAAAAGGAGACAGTACTTAACCAATTCGTTGCGGCACCAATTTTCCACAACTTTTAGCTGTGGCGGCGAACAAATATTTTATGACACACTGGGCGTGTCAAGCGCCACAAATGCTTAGCTTACAAATGGAAGGATACTTGTTTTTAGTGGGTAACTACGTGTTTTTTTTACGCGTTTTCTTTGAAATTGAGAGAAAGTGACTTTTTTTATGAAGAGATTACAAACCTTTTGTACTATTTTTTGTTGTTATAAAAAAATCATTTATATAAGTAGGTACAGCTAAATCACCCTGGAAACCTTGTTTATTATTAAATTAAATTTTCACCTAATAATAACATTTGTAAATATCAAACAATGAAGAATCTTAATTTGAAAAAAAAAAATGGATATCATTCATTGATATTTACTAATGTTAAATATTATTTAATGTTATACAAATGTAAAAGTAAAGTTGATCTGAAAACGTCTAACTAGTAAGAATAGCAAAACAAGTGTTTTCAAAAGGAAGAAAACGCCGGCACTATACGGCGGCGGATTGACAAAAGACTATTTATTAGCGAACTTCTTTTATACATGAACAGTTTCGAACTGTTTCAAGCAAAAATAAACCTTATACCATATCACAAGAGCACATGGTACTTCGTAGGTCTATTCGGCTATATGATAGTGATAAGACGGCAGTTCAACCATTTTAAGCAAAATTAAACAATAAGACAAACGTATTGTTTTTTTTTAACAGGAGACTTGTTTTCCAGAAATTTATTTACAACTTGAGTTTGTGAGCGATCGCAATGAGTGCTATTATTTGTTACTTATTAGACAATTTTTCCATAACATGATTTAAAACCCAAAAAGTAAAAATAGTACCATGTACACATTAAAAAAAGGTTGTCAACCCCTAAAAATTTCAAATTTTCAAAATATCCAGAAACGAAGCTGCATGCATGAACTACTCGCAAAATAATGAATAATTTGTTCCGGATAAATTTTCCAAAAAAGCAATTAGAGCGAGTTATAACGATTTTTAAAAAGAAACGACTCTCACTCGCGAAAAGTAATCGATGGCACGCCTGGCGTATCACCCGCACTGAACCGGTTAATTTGACTGTATGTTTTATCTTTCTTTCTTTTTTTGGCATGTGTCTTTGGGAACACAGTCAGGCTTAAGTTGTTAGGGTTCTTTGTAGCTAAACTTTGGGCAGTTCATTGAGTCCAAGGTTAAAGTAGCCACAAAGAAGCTAAGTGTCCTAGTAAAGGAGTAGCTGTATTTCATGTCAAGATAGCTTCTAAGCTCTTATATAGACATCAGTCTGGTCCTGTTTGGAGCCAGCCTTTAGATGTTATACAGAATACATTTCGGAGAATGTGCAGGAATTGCATGACTTAATTCCTCCTGCTCCATTCTATTATTACCACCAGATTTTTTTTATAAACTTGCTTTTTTATAGGATAAGGGTGACAAACGAGCACCCTTATCCTATATTTTGAGTAAATAATTGTTGAGCTAAGTCAGTGTGATTGCCATCTTCTGTTTCATCGTGACTTACCATCAGGTGAGTTACTAATAAAAGCTTACAGTTGTAACACAACTTAGTTAAGCTCATTTGTGTCATATCTTTACATAGTACTTCAACCAAGCAGCTAGTATGTAGTTAAGCTAGGAGGTGAAATGGTACTTACTTCAACTGTAGTATATAAAGTATATCTGACAAACTCTTTGCCAGGTCTATATTCTTTGAAATTGTTATAAGTCAGATCACTGTAGAAATTTCTTAAGTCTAAGCCTATTTTCATATCTTTGCTAGTAATTTTAAGTGAGGTGCTTAAGAATCCATCATTGATGACTTCAATTTTTACTTTATTGTTTCCTGTTTCAAAACTAATGTTGTTTAATCCTTTGATAAATTCTTCCGATGTGTTTTCTTGTAATAATTGTGTTGCTTTATTATAACTAAACTTCTGTTTATAGAAAGTTTCATTTTTAAATGCTTCTTCATAATTCTTTGGCAGTTTCATGTAGAAAGACCACTCATCTAATTGTCTTAAATTTGATATATCAGTAAATTTAAACAAATGCTTATTGTGATTGTATGAAACATGATGAATTGTATCTTCAACAGAATATTCTGGTTCTTTCAAAAAAATTATATTTTTTGTAATAACTTTTGATTTTATGAAATGCTCAGAATTAAGAGATATTTGTTTTTGATGCATAATTGTCCATAATACTTGTTCCTCGGCAAATGCTCCTGGTATTCTTTTTACAATCTTAATATTTACATCCACAGTCGAATTTATGATTCTACTACTTAATGGAACAAGTATATTAAAGTTTTTTAGTTCATCCAACACCTTTATACTTGTTGTTTTAATTACTTTTTGTCCAGACAACATTGTCACATGAATCATTAAATCCTTTAATACTTGTAGTAAAACATCACTTATTTTTTGTTTTTCAAATGAAACATTGATTTTTATTAAAAAATAAAACAAATTATTCACAAAGTATTCATTGATATTCTCTGTCAAAGTTAACTCTACACCTTCCTTAAGTACTTCTTCATATTTTTCATAAACAACCACAGAATACCCTATAACCTTATCCAATATATCAGGACGATTTGATAAGGATAATGCTGTTATATAATTGCTTTCTTCCTTAATTTTCTTTGCAAGTTTGTCATTTCTATCAACTTCCTCTAAGATTTTGTACAAATATCCAGAATTATCTAAAACATTTCCAGCTTCGCAATATTCATTTACAGATGTTTTTAAATATGAAGTCTCATCATCAAGCATCAATAAATAAATTAAATTTGTAAATGTAGTACAAAGTATCTGATCACCAAAACGCACAAAATCTTTTACTTGCCACACAACTAATTGTTGAAATTTTATATCAGCCACAAATGTATTCTCAGACTTCCACATAGAAACTCCATCTGTATATATAATAGTGTCATTAAATGCTGCACATTTTGATATAGCTGCATTTAAATGAACTATATCTGTAGCTTTACAACTACTGCCAACAGTTAATCTAATCAAAGTACCAGCTATTAAACCAATTATAATCTGTAATAATTGATTTTCTTCAGTTATTTTTATATCACAGATTTCTGAAGGAGTTGTGTATAGTTTTATTAATGATATTTCATCTTCTGTCATTTTTGATGAATATAAACATCCGAACAAATTTCTTCTATCGAAACTAATAATAATTAATGAATAATCTTTCCAAATATTTTTATTTATATTAAATAGTTGAATTACGTTTTCCAACTGATGTAGTGGTATTTTGTGGCACTTTAAAATACATAATTTTTGGAGTTTCATATCATATTGGGAGAATTCAACATTGGATACAATTTTGACTTTTTTTACCAGTTCGAATTCCGAATTAAAATTGTGAATACACAAGTAGTAAATATTCTGTTCCAGTTTTAAACATAATACTTTATCAGCAGTGTAAGGTACACAAATCAAAACTAATTGTTCTCGAGGTAAAAAATTAGCTTTAACATATTTTTGTGTTGTATGTTTAAATTTCATAGATATCGTGTGCACATTACCAGTATAATCTAAGCAAACAATGAAATTATTAGATGAAATCAAATGATAAATTTGAAATTCCGGTACAAACACTTTACATGCACTTCCAAAAGTAAGATTCTCATAAACAAATATCTCATATTTATTCCACAAAATAAACGTTGAGCTTGATGTATTATATTCAATATTTAATGCTCCCATTAACCGCAGGTGACATTTGTAACACTTAGGATTGGTTTTTATGCTTTCTTCTATTTCCATCATAAAAACAAAACATAATATAGGTATTCCTCAAAAAATCAAAAACTTATAGTCTTGGGTATAAACTTATAAAACTTATAAAGTAGTCATAGATAAATGTGGGTAGTTCGCGAACGACCACCACAGAACACTTTTTTTATAAACTGGCTTTACGGCTCTGGGTTCTAGCCCTTCTGAGCCTAACACCACAGAACACTAATACCCTACGACCACAGAACATATTTACCCCTAAAGGGGCGAACGACCTATCTTGTACATACAACTTTATAATTTGTGCGACTTAGGTGGGAAGAGCGCTCTTTTAGGTGAACTATGCGAACTAGTTCGTCGACAATCTGGCTCTAAGTTCTTTAACTATTTATTTTTCTGGCGTCCGCTCTATTATGGAGTGGCGCTGCATGGCTAACCGACTGATTTATTTTTACTCTTACCGTTCTTACCAGAGTTTCTTGTTAACGTATCTAATTTATAGTCTATATTTAAAGTTTTATTAGTGCACAATTCACCACAAATAACAAATATTGCTGGCTCACAATATTAATGTGAAAGTGATAGTAAACAGTACATAAATACCGCATGTTTCTCAATTCCATTTTACGGTAAGTTTATACATACATACATACATACATATAATCACGCCTCTTTCCCGTAGGGGTAGGCAGAGACCAGTTCTTTCCACTTGCTACGATCCTTACATACTTGTTTTGCTTGTTTATACAAAATTAAAATTTTACTTTTCTATCTCTACTAATTTTAATAAATACTCGAATACAGTGCAACCTCAATATAACGAAACTGTAAACTGTAAAGTATTCGTTATCATACCAAGTTCGTTATAATGATGTGTGTTATATAGAGGTTAGGTGGAAATACGATTCGTTTTAACAAGGTAAGAAAACTTGTTTATTAATCTCATCATCATCATCATTACAGCCCTTCACAAGTCCACTGCTGAACATAGGCCTCCCCCAAATAATACCACAAAGCACGGTCCTGAGCCACCTGCCTCCATCGACTTCCTACATATCTTACCAGGTCGTCACTCCATCTAGTAGGGGGACGCCCTACACTTCGTCCGCCGATACGAGGCTGCCACTCGAGAACCTTTTTTCCCCAATTCTCAACTGGCATCGCCGCAGAGAGTGTTGGATTCAGAAACGTCCCTTATAAAACTACACGTGCAATCTACGCAATACTATTACCTGTATTATGCGCGCAGATTGGGGCCATAGTGCACATTGTGGACTATGCTTCATTTTGAAAAATTCGTTAAACAGAGGAATTCTTTATATTGCGGTTTGTTATATCAAGGTTACACTGTGTTACGAATGTTACATTAATTAGCGACATGTAATCTATAAATTAGTGTTGCGTTATTTTCATTAATTCAATGCACTTCAAAAATATAAAAACGTGTTTAGCTTATATATTAAATATATATTATATTTTATTTTAATTTCCATATCATCAAATAGTTCTTGATAAGTATCGTGCATATATTATATATTATGTAGTATGTTATATACTAATTAAATGATTAATATTTTTAACGTAAATTTAATTAATTTTTATTTACTGACATTTAATAAACTCATCTTTTTTAATAAGATCTACTGAAAAATTAAAAAGGAACTAACGAACTAAATGAGCGAACTAGTTCGCTATAGGACTACGAACTAAATTGAGCGCTCCCAATGGCGACCGACTATGCCCAAGACTATTATAAAGTGCGGTTTCTACTCTCTATTCCTAGAAAAGTAAACTTAACATTTTTTTAAGTTATTTATAGGCAAAGGGATCCTTGCCCACACAGCCTAGCCTGACGTAATTTTAGTTTGGTTTACAATTTCTTTTTGTATGGAGAATGGGCCCACTACAAATTGTGGCGTGAGTTAATGAAATACATGTCAATTTATTCCCTGTATCCCTGTAACCTATAGATTGCAAGTGATATTAGTTTTACCGTATTTAACGGGAATATTAAGAAATTAATAATTAAAATATGAATAACACAATAACCTAGAAACAAACTAAAAGCGATTATCTAGTAGTTTTACTGGTATTATAAGTTAAAATAGTACACTGGTCAATAATTAATAGTATTAAATAAAGTTGTAGGTATATTTAGTATTTATAGGTACTTTAAGATTCTACACACTACACTGAAATTCCAAAAATTGTTGAAACTCTGCAAGAACACGGAATGACTTTATGTATATTCCAGAATAGATTTTTCTAAATTATTCACTCTTCAAGATCAGTTTTGAGCACTTTGTTTATTGATTATTGCCTATGCGTGGCTAAAATCTAACTGACAAAAAAAACTTTGACTCCCGCTTATTGTCAGTAATCAAAATTTCTAGTGCCAAAAGTTTCTAAAATACACTACTAAACATAAATTTAAAAACAATTGTTGAAACTGCATGATTTGACGTTATGTATAATCCAGAATAGCTAGATTATTCTCTTTCGCAAACTGTCTAAAATCATTTATGAATAATTTTGAACATTCAAATAATCTAGAATATTCTAGACCGATAATAATTATTTTTAATCATTTTTAGTGTATGGACATATGACGGAATTCTGCAGATCATTCATGAAATTTTGAGAAGACCCTAAGATCTCTTAGATAGAACATTTAAATATTTTTTTAAATTATTTAAAAAAAGGTTAAAATTATCTAAACATTTTTTTTATAGGATAAGGGTGACAAACGAGCACACAGTCCACCTGATGGTAAGTGGTTGCTGCAGCCCATAGACATCTACATCTATCCTCTATTACAAATCAAAATGTAGATGCGTTGTCACCTGTGAGGACTAAGATGGAATGCCTCATTTCCAGTAAAAAGGGTCTCCGGCCACCTGCACTCACCAAGCGAAACGCAGAGGTAAGCCTCTACTTCACGCTGGTTTTCTGTGAGGTCGTGGTACCACCCCGGTTCGAGCCGGCCCTTCCGTGCGACAGCAAAAGCTGCCGCGTGGCTCTACCACTGTTAAATATATAGACCTACTAAAAACATATTTGCAAATATTATTGAACATTTATATATAATACTAGCTGCTCCTGCGACTTCGCTCGCGTGTAATTTAGGGTTTTAATTTTGTTGCGCGGAACCCTAATTATTTTGCAAAAATATAAGTAGCCTAAGTTACTCCTTATAACATGGGCTATCTACCAGTGATAGTCCCGTCGAAATCAGTACAGCCGTTTCGGAGATTAGCCGGAACAAACAGACAGACAGACAAAAATTAAAAAAATTGTGTTTCTGTTATAGGTACCATATATACCTTTATATGCAATTATTAAAAAGCTGTTATTTTGACATTACAAACAAACACTTCAATTTTATTTATTTGTATAGATAATAATTTTATATTTAATCCATCATCATCAATTTCGTAACGTGTCTAAATTTTTTTTTATATAGTATCGGATATTTCAATATATTTTAGAGCTTTCCTGATCAATCTAGAAATATTTAGAATATTCTAGATCGATAACAATTATTCTTAATTAATAATTTTCTATAAATTCCACGCATAGGCGATAATCATTAAACAAAGTGCTCAAAAACTAATCCTGAAGAGTGAATAATTTAGAAAAATCTATTCTGGAATATACATAAAGTCATTCCGTGTTCTTGCAGAGTTTCAACAATTTTTGGAATTTCAGTGTATTGGGTAGAATTTTAAAGTACCTATAAATACTAAATATACCTACAACTTTATTTAATACTATTAAATATTTATAGAAATGTCCTATATTATGGACAAAACAAAGATCATGTTTAACGTCCATGTCACACCTATGCCGGTAGTTGTTGGGAGCACTAAGCTCGAAGTTGTTGACGAGTATGTTTATCTGGGACAAATAGTCCGACTAGGTAAGTCCAACTTCGACCGAGAGGTCAATCGACGGATTCAACTCGGCTGGGCAGCGTTCGGAAAACTATGACACATCTTTTCGTCAGACATACCTCAAAACCTTAAAACGAAATTGTACAACCAGTGCGTGTTGCCAGTGATGACTTACGGATCTGAGACGTGGTCCTTCACTGCTGGCCGTATGAGCAAGCTCAAGGTCGCTCAGCGAGCTATGGAGAGGGCTATGCTCGGGGTTTCTCTGCGTGATAAACTTAGAAATGAGTATATCCGCAGTAGAACCAGAGTAACCGACATAGCCCATCGGATTAATAAGCTGAAGTGGCAGTGGACCGGCCATATAGCTCGAAGAACCGACAACCGATGGGGAAGAAAGGATCTTGAGTGGCAGCCTCGTACCGGTAGGCGAAGTGTAGGGCGATCCTCCACGAGATAAAGTGACGACCTGGTAAGACATGCAGGAATTCGATGGATGCAGGTGGCTCAGGACCGTGCTTTGTGTCATTCCTTGGGGGAGGCCTATGTTCAACAGTGGACTTATGAAAGGCTGTAATGATGATGATGAATAATTTTCAGAGTTTGAATATATGATGGAATTTCTTAGATCATTCGTGGAATTTTGAGAATAATTAGAACATTATGGATCAACTACAATCACTCATTTTCATAGTTCCTTTTAAAAATTGTAGAATATTCTAGAACATTCTGAAAAAAATCTGAAATATTATAGAAAAGTTCTCGATATTATCACGCATAAATGTAATTTACGCCATTCTTTCTTTTTTTGTTTTCATTCGGCACAGTCTTGAGCTAATATGAGTCATACAATGTGTTAGTAAAGTATAGTAGTATCGCATTACAGATTTTTACCACCCACATTCACCCACTTATACGTGGTAGAGCTATCCTGCAGCTACATTAGTAGTATAGTTGTAGCACGAACGGGTCCGCTCGACCGGAATATCAGCGTGAAATGGCAGCTTGACACTGCTGTGTTTCCTATGGTGAGTGTAAAGAATCGGATACCCATTTTACTTGAAAAGAGGCATTCCATCTTAGTCGGGTGATGACGTATCTGCATTGTGATTCTATATTGATGATAAATGTAGATGT